CCCCTTTCAAAGTGCTACATAAGGACTAACTCATGGCCTAGCGGCATAAGGGAGTGGAAGGCGTCCCTCACTCCTTTGCATTGGCTACCTGTGCCAGGTTGCAGCATGAGGAAGACAGCAAGTAATTCAGAGCCACTACGCCCTTCCCTACTGGGCAGGTGGATGATGGGGAAGGGACAGGATCTGGGCTCTGCCCCTGCTCCCCAGTGCACTGGCTAGCATCTCACTCTGCTCCAGGGGCAGCACAGGAAGCACTGCCCTTTGCCAGGGCTGGTGGTAAAGCGACCATTCCAGCCTAATGCTCATTATTAATAATCGTTAACAGCCCCACCCTCAGCTGCATATGCAGGAATGGGAGAAAATCACAAGCATGCAAAAAAACCCTGTATTCCACCACTCTGTGGCCTTGCCTCCACTTCTGCTCTAATCTGCATGTTTTCAGCTTTAATTTTTTTAAACATTGCATTTATATCATATAAAGATGCAGCTGTCACATTATGCTGCTGACCTGCTAATCCAGCCTAAGAGAAAAGTTCTCCTATCCAAACAACAGCTTCCTATGGGATGGAATATTCACCCCAGTGCGTAGACCTGGCACTAGCCCTCTGCAGGTGAATTTCCCTCAGCCATCTTGTTCTTAGAGTGGCTGCAGCTACTAACAGAGGAGAGGCACACACTGTGCTCTCTCCTGGATGCGTTACATTTGTTCTTTCTTGCTGCTAGTTTTCCTTAATCTGCAATCAGTCATTTTAGACTCATAGTGCATGTTTGGGTCTCTGTGTCTGGAAACACAGCACCCACGGAACCAATTTAGTTGCAGAATTCTCTTGTACAGCAGAATGCCAAGATATTGAAATAAAGTTCTTAACTTTTCTCTCAGCTGAGGAAGGACTTGAGAAAACAATCTATCAGAACATACCCACTGGGGACAAAAGCCTCTTGATTGAACATGCTTGGGCTCATCAGCACATACAGAAAATGGAGGGTTATAAATGAAACACTGTGGTTTTTCTCTTTCTCATTTCCTTTCTGTCCGTCTTACTGACAGAAATTTGCTGTCTTGAAGCAGGATATAGATCTCAGTCAGACAAAGAACTTCTGCTGTTTGATGTTACTTTCCTGTTATTAGGATTTTCCACCTGTCACTTCCTATAACAAACCCAATAAGGCCCAGCTCCTCAAAAGTATTTAGGTAACTAACTCCCAATGGTTCTAGGCCTGAGTGCCTATGGGTCGTTGTTTAAACTTTTTTGGTACATGATCAGTTTATCAGTTCTTCTTCGAGTGATTGTTCACGTCCATTACACATTAGGTGTACGCGCGCCGCGTGCACGGACGTCGGAAACTTTTTCCCTTAGCGGCTCCCGTCGGGCCGGCAGGGCCCCCTCCTTCCCGCCAGAGCGGCGCCCCGCTCCAGGGTATATATATCCCTGCCGACCCGACCCCTCCAGTTCCTTCTTACCGTCCGTGGCGGCATTGGAACAACTCTGTCTCTCTTCTGAGAGTGTCCCTTAGCATAGTCGTTAGTGTTATTTAGCAGTTATCAGTTAGTTTGTAGTAGTGTTGAGCCAGTAGTTAACAGCTCATTAGGGTACTTAAAGTTCCTGCTGTGGTTGTTTGTTCAACCCCGGCACCGGCCCTGGGCGGCGGGGCATGCCGCACGCCCAAGGCTTCAAGGCTTGTGCCACGTGCCACAGGCCTATGCCATTGAGCGACCCCCACGCCTCGTGTCTCCGCTGCCTGGGGGAGGCTCACCAGAAAGAGAGACTTTCGCCTTAAGCAGCTGCTCATGGAGACGGCATTACAGCCCTCCACTTCGGCGGCACCGTCTGCCTCCGTGCGGAGCGCCCCGGCATCGGTGCGGGAACCGGCGCCGGCGGGTCACCCGAAGCCCACGGCACCGACCCAACGGGGACATATACGACGCCGGTCGTCTTCGCCGGCAAAAGCGAAGGGCCAACCTAAGGCCCGAGGACGCTCCCCGCACAAGAGGGCGGCACCGGTGAAGACCTCGAGTGCCCCTAAGGCCTGTACGGCCCCAGCACAGACCCCGGTAGTGGCTCCGGTGCCGAAAGGCCCGTCGAGCCCCGGGATGGGCGCGTCGAGTGAGGATGAAGGGCTGGAGGAGCTCTTGGAACAGCCCTCCACTCTGGACACGTTTGAGGCAGCTAAGGACCTCATTGCATTGTCCGTCGAGGCCCCTACACGCGCTGAGGACGCTCCGCCGAAGCTGCCGCACAGAGGCAAGCCGGCAATGGTGCGCCCATCACGGTCGCCGTCTCGGCACCGTTCCAGGAACCGGTCCCGGTTGAGCTCCGCCTCGGTGGACTCCCGGTTGCCCTCGGCGCAGGAAGCACCGCAGCAGTCGGGCTTCAACAAGCGGTCGGCACCGACTCAGCAACCCAGCACGAGTCGGCACTGCGAAGTGTCGGCGGTACGTTACCCGAGGCCGACCAGCCGTAGCCGTTCCCGGTCCCGCGATCACCGGTACCGTTCCAGGTCCAGGTCGGCGAGACGCTATTCCAGGTCCTGGTCGCGGAGGCGCTACTCCCCAAACCCGGACCGGCACCATCCTACGGCTCCGCCGTGGCCTTCCAGGTCACCGTCCGTGGTCTCGGGGACTGACTCGGACCGGTACGGCGGGTATGCCCATAGGTCACAGGCTAGCAGGGACTACGGCCATTCCCAGTGGGGCCAACCGAGCCAATGGCCATTCTGGACACCCTGGGCCTACCACCAGCAAGGGCCCCCATCGAGGGCCTCG